TAAGAGCTAGAAAGGATAGTAAGTTGTGGAGAGCCTTAATCAGCACATTTTAAAGAGTCATAGCACGAAAGAAGTAGAAGTAATGCTTTGCTATTTGGACCAGCATGCGTTTCTTGCTTGTTGTACTCACATCTTGGCAATTGTGCCTTCAACCGCTTGGATATGTGGCCTAATGAATTAAAAGTCTTGGTTAAAAAAATATCATGGATATATGTAGATTGTATAGTGTAAGAGAATGAGAAATGGGCAAGCTGAGTTCAAATTTCATTTGAGTTTGTTACTTCACTTAAATGCAAATATCTTTGGGCGATGTATGAATTCATCACTTCCCCTTCCCTATGGGTTAAATATTTGATTGTCAGCCAGTCTAGGAAAAGTATAGCTCTGAATTCAAAACCAGTAGGGCATGTGGCTCACAACTCAATCTGATAAAAACTACTTGCTACAGGAATCACAGGTCTCATCACATGCTGTGGCCCTATCATGATGTCTACAGGACTTGAGTGAATGTGGATAAAATATATCCAGTTTAATCCTTTGATCTGGTATTGCCGAAAAGTCACGTAATCTTGTTCAGTAAATAAAACAAAGGGGAATAAGACAGATATGTTATTAACAAATACAAAGATATCCCCAAGAATTGAATGTAGAATGAGAACCTATGTGAATTGAATAAAGGAAAAATCTAAAAAGATTTTGGAGTATGATGACAGAGACCTGAAGAAATCTAGAGAGCATAATAGTCGAAACCTGAGTTTAACAATCAAGAGGGAGTCACCTTGTCTGAATAACATAGCATATATTAAAATGGTTTGTTTAAAAAAATATTTTTATTAACTGCCAATAGAATTGGAATTTTATGAATAAAAGTTTGTTTATTTTTATCATGCGAATATTAAATTAAAACTTTGTCAAGATCTTTTACAGATAATAGTGAAAGAAAGTGAGAAGAAAAAATTATCAATTGTAAGAAGACAGAGTATATGGTTGTCAGCAAAACGAAGAGCCCAACGTGCAAATTACAAGTTGGAGATGTCAAAATTAAACAAGTACAATGATTTAAATATCAGGAAAATATTTTAACAGTGGATGAAAAGTGTTACACTGAAATCCGAAGGAACATTGGGATAGCGAAAGATGCATTTCAAAAGCTAAGAAAAGTATTAAGAAACAGAAAAAGTTTGTTACAAACAAAGAAAATAGTACCAAACTGTTACATAATATCAGTCCTCCTATATGGTATGTGAATGTTGGACAATCTGCTCAAAGATGAAGAAAAAAGTTGAAGCAACAGAAATATGGTTCTTCAGAAAGATGCTGAAAATACCATGGACCAAATATGTGAGCAATAATGAAACAAAAAGGACACTGATACTTATAAGAGAAAGTTCAAATTTCTAGAGCACATAATGAGGAAAAAGGGCTTGGAAAATGTGATACTCATAGGAAAGATTGAAGGCAAGTGGGTTAGAGAAAAGCAACACATAACCTACTTAGTGACCTTGAGTAAATGGATGGCAGAGCAATTTTAGGAGAGATAACAAAAAGACAAAATTTATTAAGAAGTACAAACAACAAAAAATTGTAGAGAGCCATGATTGCTAGCATCCTGAAGTGACATGGTATATAGATGATATAGAACTTCCTTATATTTAATTGTGATAATTAAAGGATTTATTTAGAAAATCATTATACTTATTAGAAAACGTTAAAATATTTTAGAGAAAATCATATTTAAATTTATAAATTATAGTACAAATTATAATAATTTATATTAAAAAATTATTATATATAAGAGATTAATTATAGAAATTTTATCTAGAAAATATTTTCATTAGAACATATGAATTATTGTAATTTTCCATTTAAAGAATTATATTTATGAAAAGGTAGAAATTATATTCTTTTTCAAGACATGGATGATCACGGATCTCCACAACTTCTTATCCTTTACAGCTCTTAATAGGTTTTCTCACCACATTCCCTCCCATACCCTGTCCTGCCAGCTATTTAGACAACCTTTCTAGGTAGGTTACTAGCTGTTTCCTTCTTTCCTTCAATATGTCCTGTGAGTTTGGTTTCATTTCGTTTCGTTTCGTTTGGTTTACGGCATATCAAACTCAATGGGTTATTTAATGTTGACAAAATTTTTATTTATGGTAATTTTTTTTCTTCAAAAATGTATTGCTGGTAATAAATTATTTTACAAATTATTTCTGGTATTAAAACCTATTTCTACACTTACATAGTGTTTTGACCCCATTTTGGAGGTTAACTATTTACTCATAGTTTGGACCCTAACAGGTGCTACCACTCCAGGTCAGGGTGAACTAGGGAACACCAGCAATTAAGAGGTGATTCCATGCTCCTCAAAACCTCCTGATCGGAGGCCTTGCTGTTGGAAGTAATTTATTGTCTTACCTAGGACATGGATGTAGTTTATCGGCATACCCAGGATGGTGTCCTGTGAGTGACAATTTTTCTGAGCCCTCTTTCCTCATTATGTATCTTGGAAATTTCAATCATTCCTTTCTGATTTTAAGCATTATTTTTATTTCCATTAAAAATTGTTTTTCATTATTTAGTAGTAATTACAATAATGCCAAGTAATTATTTTTTGTGACCTATAATTAATTAAAAATCTTTCACAAGACAAGAATATTTTTATATTAATATACATTTCAGTAATTCTTTATGTTCAGTTCTTACCTGTGCATATGCAAGCAAGATATCTAAAAAAGTGTTTGACAAAATTTTGCACAACATTGAATTAAAAATATGTAAAAGTGATTAAATTTTGGATTCTAAAAGTTTTTGTCAAATTTTTGAAAGCGTGAATTTTGTATAAGCATACAACAAATGAGATTTGTTTTGTTGCCCAGTGAAGATGAACCAAAAATTCAAGATGGAGGAAGGAAGTTAATTTAATCATCATGACTCTCTAAAAAAAGAAGATGGAAATTTTCTGTTTGAAGTTAGAAAAACTGCTGCTTTTGTTGCAAAGAGTAAATGAAATAAAACTATAGCATTAACATTTAACAAGGGATATAAAAGCCTGAAGTGCTTAATATCAACACCCAACATAGAAAATCTTCATCTCAAGTTTCTTATATCTTTATTTTGTTTTATATACATTTATATTCTTGCAGTGAACAGCAGTAGCAGCATTGGATTTTCTTATTAGAATCATACAGAGAATATGAAAGTAATGTAACAGATATTAGTGCAGAAAGTGAAATTGGTAAACCACTAAGTAAGTTCAAATTCTGGCCTAGTCTATTGCAATCACTTTATACACATACACTTCCCATTGGCTATGGGTTAAATAGTAGGGCAGACTGGGTTTTCTAGCTTTGAGTCTAAGGGAAGGAAAATTCTGAATTCCAAAGAGTGAAGAAAGCAATGGAAACCATTTCCTTTTCTAAATCATTTCTCTCCGAGCAAACAATAATGCTAGTAAGATGCAAAGGATCACAGAGAATGAAAGAAATCATCAAGAAAACATTACTAAGGAGAAAGAACAATTAAAAGGACACAGAAGATAAAAATTGATATTGCATTTCTATTTTTAAAGATCATAGTTGACAGGAAAGCAAGAAACCAGAAAAGAATTCCACATGTGAGAAGTGTGAGAAAAGAGACTATAAGAGTAACACTTATGGTTGTATCTAGCTATTTCAACTGTAAAATGGTGAGATATACTTGCTAATCTAGTCAGTCAGTCAGTTATGTGCCATGTGTGATACACACGTAGGCGATCATGTATCTTTTGATACATGACTGATGAGGCAGATTTTTTTCCCACAGTAGGTTGCCATTTCTTTCTGTGGTAGACCAGTTGCTATCCAAGGTTCTAGAACCCAGTCTGTCCTGCTATTTACCCATATACTCTTCTTCTCTCCTCCATAGCTGGGGGAAGAAGAGGAGGATTCATACCTTTCCAAAGGGTATTATGAATCCTCTTCTTCTCCCCCCAGCTATGGGTAAATAACAGGACAGACTGGGTTCTAGCTATTTACCCATAGCTAATCTAGTACTGCACTTAAATTTGTTAAATTGAGGTACCAAAAAGGAAAGCTCAGCAGACCAATTACCATGAAAATATTAGTGAAATGGCACAGAGAAGTTACATTATGATGATGGGAAAGTGTTTGAAGACAAGATGCCAAGCCAAAACTAATAACATTGCTGATTTTTCTTAGACATTGTCAGGAATCTCTAAATACACAGTAGAAGCACCAGACCAGATTTGGTAACTTCTTTGATAGAGAAATGTGGTAATCACAAACTTGACATTACTCTAAGCCAATTTACCATATGGCATAGTTCTGAATTGATTGATTTCTTTCCTGTGGGCTTTTTATTCATCTGGTGTTTAAAAAGCATGTTTGATTATTTTTGTGATGACTGATGAAAAAGAATGGGAGTGTGCACATAGTCGGTTTTTTTTTATTTTTGGGTGGTGGGGAAATGACTGTTGAGGTGTTATAATGCTTTGATAATGTTTTAAAGGAGAAGATTTATGTAAAACACAAGTTTACAAATGGGATTCATTTTTTATGCATCGTGAAATGTCACTTTAAGAATGAACATGATCTCACTGGCCTTCAATATACTGAAATCTTAAAAAAGCATTTCCCCCCAGAATTTAACCATTTTCCATCTTGTAAAATGATTTCAGAGAAGGGAAAGGATTATTATGTATGTGGAAAGGCATGTTGACAAAACATGGTAGGAATTGAAGAAAACTGCTGGTAATAAAGATGATACTGCTGATGAGAATCATTCCCCATCTATTTATTTTTGCTTTTATAAGAAACATTTCAAGAGTGTAGTATTAAGAAGCCATTAATTAACAAACCAATAATTAGTGGGACACAAAATAGTGTCTACAAAGTAAATACAGTCGGTGGTAGATGATAAGACAGGGAAAGAAATTTTGTAATTTATTTGTTTTTTTTTTTGCTTTGTTTTTTGTTTTTTTTTTTTCTTTAATTTTTTCACCTGAAGAACTTGTAAGATGTAACTCTCAAAAATATACTCTGAGAACATGCAAATAGACACAGAGAACTAAAAAAAAATAGAAGTTTTTGAAAAACAACAAGGTCTAATAATAAAAGAACATAAAAGAGAAAGAGTATGAGAGATAAAGAAAGAGGAAGAAAATGTAAGAGATAGAAAAGGAGAGATAGACAGAGAAAGAAAAAATAGAAGGAAAGAAAGAGTAAGGAAGCTGGAGAGTGAGGAAGAGAGAGATGGATGGGGCAAGATAAAAATTGAGAGAAAGAGGAAGAGGAAGAGAGAAAAGTGAGAGAAAGAGGAGGAGAGAGAGAGAGAGAAAGAGATAGAGTAAGCGATATGTAAAGTGATAGTGTCAGAGAGAGAGAAGGGGTGAAAAAGACAAAATGAAAGAGTGAAAAAGAGAAAGAGAAACTGAGAAAAAGAAAGAAGGAAAGAAACAGAAAAAGTGTGAGAAAGATGGAGAGAAAGATAAACAGTGACAGAGAGAGAGAGAGAGAGAGAGGGAGAGAGAGAGAAAGATGAGTAGAGTGAGAAAGAGGAAGAGATATGGAGAGAGAATGAGAAAATGTGAGAGACTGAATAAAAATGATAGAAAGAGAAATTGAAAGAAAGAAAGGAGAGAGACACAGAAAAAGAAAGAGTGAGAAAAAAAGGAGAGAAAGAGGGAGAAAGAAACAGAGAGAAAGATCAGCAGAGAGAAAGAGTAGAGAGACATTGTGAGATTGAGAAAGAGTAAAAAAAGACAGAGAGAAAGAGAGAGAGATGGAAAGAGAGAAGGGGAAAGAGACAGAGAAAAACTGGAAAGCAGACAGACAGAAAGCGAGAAAGATCAATTCCATGTTCCAGTGAGAATTATTTTTCCAAGAAGTTGAAAAAAAAAGCTTGTCATTTGGTGATCAATATTCTTCTGATGTTTGTATTTTTGTAGGAACTGAATTCCTTCATAAATTCCTGTTAGTTTTTAAAAACTATCCACAGTGCAATATAATAAATTACGTTAATGAAATTCTTAAAAAAGGATAAAAAAAATGTTTAAGGAATCCTTTTAAAATTTTTCATTCTCATTTTTTTTTTCAAATTTTCATACTTTATTTTTTCTAAGTCTCGTGTTAACTTTTCATTCCTCACTATGAATCAGTTCCTTCTCTCTCTATATTTTTTTTAATTTCAAATTCATGAATATATACAAAGTATTAATCGAATGAATAATAACAGAGTTAATATTAGGAACATTGCTGAAAATTTCTTGGCCTTGCTGACCCATTTCCCAAAATCTAAGCAAATGACAAAACAGAATTTTTTAGAAGTGCTTTTTGGTTTGGTTGTTGACTCTTTCACCACTCCTGGTATTGTAAATAAACAATAAACAAATTAAATAGAAAGTTCAAAAACTTATCAGCCAACTTAAAGTTTTCCAGAAATCAATCAGGTGGTAGATAAATCAATTGAATTTATTGACAGATATTGTATGTTAATTAAAAGATGCTATATAAAAAATTATTAATTTTTATCATCAACTTTATTCTTTCTAAGGAAAGTCAAGAGATAAGTTTGCAGCTTTTTCTTTAATTCATTTAATAATGTTCCTTTTCTTAATATTGAACACTTTACTTACATAGACTACTAGAATTCTGACTTATTTGAGCTAAACAGCCAGACCTACATTGTGGTTGCTGACTACTTTTCAAAATATGAAAATCTGAAATCCATATTTGCTGGGCATCGAGTACCAGTGATCCTGAGGACAGACACAGGAAGACTAATGTAAAGAAATTTTGCTGATTTCACATGAATCTGGGGATTTTGACACATGACAAATAACCCTAGATTTTTCCAAAGCAATGAACCAGCAGAAACAGCAGTAAAAAATAACCAAGACAATGCTGAGGTAAGCAAGAGATATATGTCCCCGCTAGCCTATTTAGTGACCCCAATGGACTGTGGATATTCTCCCAGAGAACTTCTAATAGGAAGAAAATTAAGAAGCAATATTCCAATCCAGCCAAAGCTACAGATACCCAAGTGGACTTACTTTGAACTTATTCATGGGAAGGATGAGTACAAGAAGGTTCAACAACAACAACACTCACACAACCAGAGACACAAAGCAAGAGACCTGAAACCTCTTGAGACATGAAACTGATACATCCAACACAACCGCTGACATATCATATGAAGACTACCTCCCAACAGGGAGATAGTAAAAGTGGAAAGTCCTGAAAATATCCAACCCTCAATAAATGAAACCAAGGAAATGATGCATCAACCGACCACTCCCATGGACCACATAACAATAAGGGCCGGACGATTGTTGAGACCACCTACCAGACTGGACATTTAAATAAATAAATAAAATAAAAATAATTATATAAAAATTGGAGATGTAATAGTGGTCTATTTAACTAAACAGGCAGAGTTAACTCCCCTTACAGCAAGATTAATGTTACTTTTTTAATCAGAATGAGATATAAATAAACGAGGACTAGCCTGCCATGTTGGATCTGATACCTAACACACATGCATTGCTTTGGTCATTACTAACTAACACAGCATTACTAATAGTAATAATATGGCACATAATAAATGATAATAGAAAAGTTGTTTCCATACAAGAAGCATTCACCATTCATTAACTTAACAAGTTAGTATTACTGTTGTTTGAACTTCATAAAATCTTTCTCTAAAATCGGTTTCTCAGGAAAATAAGCTTCTCAAGTCCATTGTTATCACTCTTTCTAGTATTGACAGGAGTTTCCTTCCAAACCTTTTGCTTTTAGTAATGTGGAAAGTTAACAGTTTAATTTCATTATTTTCATTTCTTGTTACTAGCCATTGTTGCTGCTGTTGGAATTCTTCAAGTGATGTGGTTTTTGTTACTTAGCAAAGTTCTTGGTGATTCTGTAGCACCAATCTGTTGAACAATGGTCTTCTTTAAGACCTAAATTAATTTTAAAATCATTAATTTGTATATAGCTGATAGTTTAGACATTTCTGAGTGAGTTGACACCATGCATGCTATCTACATAAAAGTCTAGGATTGATAAGGCTAATTAAGAACTTGAATTGACTTCTTGGATTAATATTTTGTTTTTGAAACATCTTGCAGCATTGGACAAAACTACTCCAAATGCAGCCAATTCTATATTCAATTTCTTTATCTCCTATCTTAACTATTTTTATAACCTCAAAGATTGTATCTATCATAATAAAATTAAGATTTATATGGAAAGTATCATCCAATATTATAGAATGAAATATAAAATACAAATTCCACAGACTTTATCATGGTAAAAATTGTTGTAAATATGCTTAGAATCTTTGGTAAATTTGAAAAAAATATGAACCAAGGAACCAAGAAACTTATTCTTGGTTCTTTCTTGCACAAATCTAATCAAGTGTAAAGTAGCTGTCACCTCCCATGCCAAGTGGCGTGCAAGGGGTGAGGATGTGGCGGTAGGCCCCGGGTGTCACTCTCTGATTATTGCACTTCCAATGGAGTATATTATTTTTTTTGCAACAAAGACAGAAGTAAGTATAAAACTTTTAATAGAAAATATTTGATTTTTTGCCATTAATTTTCTGTTCATTCTATACAAGATCCAAATCTTCTAACTTACTATTTATTATTAGTAAGTAAACCTGATTTTAGTTAATTACTAATAACCAACAATGTCACAGGAGCAAGAGTGAAAATTTCAAGAATTTCAAAACATTTTAAATAAAAATTGAAATGAAATATCTTTTAAAAAAAAATCACAATCCTTGCCCTGGGTGCTACTAGACCTCTGCATACCAGATTCCTAGAGTTCTACTTCCCACTCGCATATGACACTTGGTTTTAGGTATGCTGTAATTTCAAGACCTACATCCACAGAGTTGAATCACCTCCATTCCGTATGTATTACTTTAGTAAGAAGAAGACTGTTAAACTCTGAAAGCTTTTTCTCAAGAACCACTTCCATGTAGATTCTTTCTCCAAACAACACAATCTTTAATCTTTTTCAAATCTCAGGTTAATTGTCATCTCTCCACCATATCCTCATAAGCTTTACTTCTCATTTCCTCCTCTTGGGTACATATTGCACACTTTATTCAGTAATCTTCTACGTTGAGTGGCTTTTATTGATTGCACTTTAGTTAAAATGTACCACTAAATGAACATTCATTCTGTAGGTGTCTGATTTGGCTGTTGTGTGGCATCTTCTGTTCAGATAACATCAGCAAGATACAAACAAATATTCAGAATTTGGACAAGAAAATAAAAGAAAACTTTTTTGAATCATAAATTAAGCTTAAGCGTTCCTTAAATGTAAGTGACATAGATATGAATTATTCTAAATGCGATTCTTCTACCACCATTTACCTCCGTGTCCCTCTGGATTTTTGCACTTTGCCGAAGAGAATAGTACTGCTCACTTTCGGATCCCAGGTATAGAACAAAGTTTTGAGAATATTTACTGCAAGTTTTACCTTTTTCAAGATTAAATCTCCAGAACTGCAAAAGGGTACCTTATTGTGGTTTATTGGTCATCATGCTGGACTAATAAGTTATTAGTAGTGAGTTTGATCCTCAGCATGCAGTAATGGTCAGCACACTATTCTAATTGACTATTACTCACTGTGTTCTAAATAGTTGTAGTCCATAATCGAAAGTAAACATAAAAAAAAAAAATCAACTTAGAGGGGGTAATAGTTAGCACATTAATTTGGTTGACCATTTCTACTGTCTAGTGAATTTGGTCCTCACCATGTGCCTCATACTTGTGACCTTGTTCCAAATCTGATAATATATTCTGTGTGGGTGGGCATATGGATAAATCCAGTGTAGAATATACAATTTTTATTTTTAAACTTTCATTCTCTAATATTGGATGCTTTTCTATAATGACCGAGCAGTTATGGCAATAAATATAGTTTTCTAAATTGAAAAATAACATATTTCCTTCTTAAAAGTATAGATTTTTAAAAAGAACTTTTTCATTTTTAAGTATTACAAATCAATTTTTTCTAGTTATTTCTATTCTTAGCAATTTAGGGAAGTTTTCAATTAAAGTAATAGAAGTTATTTTAGTATGTAAAAATTATTTATTGATAATCACCAGTAACCATAATAACCTATAATAAATGGGTTTTACGGTAAGAGAGTAAGGAGGAGGAGGATGATGATGATGATGATGATGATGATTGCAATCAAAGTAACAATAAGCATATAAGTACAAATATAGGAATTTTGAGATGCAAATGGATTTCCCAGTGCAAACCAGAAGTCTCAATTTAGTCATCATAAACAAATATCTGTCAGATTAGGGATGCTGCAGTCCCTGACCACAGAGTGAAAAGTTGGACAAATATCTTGTTAGAATTATGACATGAATGGTGAAAGCTGAACTTCTTTTAAAGCGATTTTCTTTTTTCAAGATTTTAAAATTTTGACAAAGAATTGGCACCATGTAGACAAAGGTCCAACAAAAATTCTGAGACTTGCTGTCATTTGCTCTTCATTGAAAGCTGCCAGATTTCCTACAGTGTTATAACGTACCCATCATTACAAGAGATTTTGTCTTAGAGAATGAACGAAAAAATAAAATTTACCATTCAAACAGATTTTCCAGTCCAATTCAAATAATAAGATCTCATCTCTGTAAACAAATTAAGACCTAGTGAATGTTGCTGTCCTAGCTGATGATCTTCTTCTTCTTTTTCTTCTTCTTCTTTTTCTTCTTCTCTTTCTTCTTCTTTTTCTTCTTCTTCTTCTTCTCCTTCTTCTTCTTCTTCTTCTTCTTCTTCTTCTTCTATGTGCAAGATGTAAACAATCATGACTCATCATGGCTTTCTATCCTTTGTAACTCTGAGCAATATTTTTCTTTTTACCATCCTTCCCACTATCTGCTCTGCCATCCATTTACACAAGCTCATTAAGTAGGTTACTTGCTGTTTTCCTTTGTCTCTCTTGCCATCAATATGTCCTGTGAGTGTCAAATTTTCCAAGCCTTCTTTCCCCATTTTGTATCAGAGTTAAAATAGAATCAAAAGCTGGAACAATATCAAATTGGAGCTGGCCAATTCTCCCTTTCCAGCCTTTACAGTGTTCAAAAGAATTTACATGGCCTTGTGGTTGATGAACTAATTTCATCCTACAACCCCTTTCCCACAGATAAAATGGCACTAACTTTTCATAGCAAATATTCAGATGAGCTTTATTCCTTAATTCCACAAATAGGACCCACCATGCAACATACACAGGTTCAACTCATTCCATTTGTATTCAGTTGGTAAGAAATAAGTGACACTCAGACAAGCTCCTAAGAGGGTGTTTCCCCAATCACTATGATCTTGACCTCTTCAAATCTGGGATCAACCATTATCTATTCTACATCTCATCTCCCTCCTTGTAGGCCCCTAAAACCTCTTTTAATAAGCTTGAGCAGCTCTTGGGTATTGTATTAGGTGAACAATAGTTTAATCAAATTGTTAGAACTGGGGAGATTATGAAACATGAAGGCAACCATTTTTTCTACTAATTTTCACTCAATTCTAGGCTCAAGAGTTATTGAATAAGGTATGTGGTATAAGATGTAGGAGGAGGAAGTAGAAAATGAAGATTATGATGTCAAGAAGAATAGATAATAATTAATCTTGGAGAGGTTAATATTATAGTGTATAGAGGTGGTGTTCTTCAAAGTGGCAGTTTTTAGGGAAAAAATGTCAGAGTGAAACTTCCTCCTAAAAACTGGAATATAAAGAGAATGTACCCATTAACATTAGCATGATTGGAACAGTCACAAACAGCCTTATGAAGAAGGTAAAAGATCTGGGAATCCCAAGAAGAACTAAAGATGTCTAGAATAAAAAAAAACATTTAGAATTCTGTGAAGGATGCTTTGGAAGACTTGCTGTCACTTGACTGCCAGTAAAAGTGACCAGACACTACTACTGTGAAAACTTGGCAAGCATAAATAATAATAAAAGAAAATAAATTTATTGAAACTGTCCAGACTACAGAAATATTAAAACAGCAAAAATGCTGAGGAAGGTACTGGAAAATTGTATGAGTTGATATTACATGACTTTTAATAAAGAGCACTAGATAAAATTATGTATGAAAAGACAATTAGTAAAAATATAACTAAATAAAACAAAGTAAAAGTATCGAGATAGTTAAAATTATTTAGAATACTGTAGTGGGTGCTGGAGCATTGATAGTTCTTGGTGTCATTTGAAATCAAGTGAAGGTCACCAGATACTATTGGTTTGAAAGCTCAGGAAGCATAACTAATGCCAAAACAAAATAATTATTGAAACCATCCAAATTATAGCCTTAGTAAAACAGCTACAATGCTGAGGAGGGTGCTGGAGCAATGAATGAAGTGTTGTTACTTGACTGCTAATAAAAGGTACTAGATAAAAATTAGGTGTAAAATGCCAATAAGTACAAATAAAATAAAAAACGTTTTACTGCTGTGTTTGATTCTCACTGGATTTTCATAGATGCATTCTTACACCAAAAATAATCTATGCTTAGTAAAGACACAAACACCTCAGAGTTGGGTAGTAATGGTTAGCACATTAGTCTGGGTGACCATTTCTACTGACTAGTGAGTTTGATCCTCACCTTGTGTCTCATACTTGTGAAAAGCATCTAGATCAATAGAATCAGCGAGAATACTGAGAAGCAAACTTGTTTACCAAGAAGAAATGCTATCACTTGATCTCTGTTGAAAACCTACAGATAGTAATCATGCAAAAAGTCACTGAGCAAAACTATTGATTATTTTTTGACCATCATGAAACATCATTGTCATTTTTGCCAGGATGAAATGATTCAACGTTTTCATCTCCACCGTCACTCTGAAGTCATTTAAATTTTATTTTCCAGTTTCTCCCCCAACCCTGACAAAAAATTCACCAGACCAACTTGAAACCACATACCCAACTAGCTACCTTTAAAAAGTGAAATAAAAATAAGTTTTTTTTTTACCCTCTTCATAACCCTAACGCATACTTTGATAAGTGAACTCTAAAATTACAGCAATTTATGCTGCAGGTACTGGCTATATTTACCCTCTGGCTTGTGTGGGAGCAATCATGCACATCTCAGAGGTATGTGCAAAATATAATTAAGTTTTGAGTTGCTGGCAACATCAAACAGAAGGGGGGAAAGCTATACTTTAGGGACTTGAAGATAGAGGTGTGTGTCGGGCAGCCATCACTACAGTTTTTACCATTGGGGCAAATTCAAAACTTGTAATTCTATGGGTAATAATAAAATATGTCATTATCAACATATAGACAGATTTATATATATATATATATATATATATATATATATATAGATAGATAGATAGATAGATAGATAGATATTAGGTGCATTTTGGGTAGCAATTTTTTATCTATTCAGGTTTGGTTGAAGACTAACGAAGAATCTTTGTAGAAAATAGTTTTATTTAATTTTTACATCATTCAGACCATTTTTCTGGTTTCTGGGGAAGATTTCATCATAAATAAATTGTTTATTATCTTCTGAGAGCTTTCAGTTTTCATAAACCATTATCAAAGGGTTTTGTATTTATTTGGATAAGGTTGCATTTATCTTTTTTTTTAAAGAATTTGTATAATTATATACATGGTAAACATACATTTATATGTGTGACTATCACTCAGTTCATTCTCCTCCCCAGTCTTTTGAATCTATTCCTTGTTTCTTCTTTAGAATTGGGTTTCTGGTTCCATCTAAAGTCTAATTCAACTCTATATTTCTAATGTCTCTCCCTTAACTCTGAAATTTCATTTACTAATTATTTTTTTGGTCCTCAATAGGAGTAGACATGTTTACATATCATATGGTTTTTAGAGGTTTATCCCTTGTTCCCTGTTTGAAATTGGTTTCTGGTTCCTTCTAAAGTCATTTCATTTTCTTTCACTCCTAGTAGCCCCTTGCGTTCTTGTGGCATTATCGCCTTGATAGGGGTGAACTGATTAAAAAAAAAAAAATCTTATAAGATAATGCCAGCATCTTCTTTGGCCAAAATTTGTTCCTTTTGTAAGCAGCATCCAGAGTGACATAACAGTTCAAACTCTGCATGATAGATGAAACTGGAATGTGAAATGAAAATCTGAAATTGCTCTCTCTGCTTACTGCATTGTACGATGATTATGCTATCACGAGGTTAGACTTGAATGATCACTCCGGGGCACAGGCCTAGGTGATGATAGGTTGGGTTCTATTCAAAGTACATGGCCCACCTCTCAGCAATACTGACATGATCCAAAGGAATACAGGGCATTTCATTTTGGGCCTAAATATATACATACATATATACAATAAATTAATAAATATACATTTACTTCCTCTCCGGTAGCCTCTACTCAGCATCTGAAGATTGTGTTATGCATGAAACTCTGCGTGAGGAAAAAAATCTATATTTACTAATATATAATATAAAACTCTAACATTTTTAGGCATTTAAAACAACATGCCTGGCCGCACACACAATTCCGTAAAATCCTTGTCGAAAACACAATTATACTTCAACATGAAAACAATAGACAAAAATTTAAAATCCTTGAAGCAATATACATCAAACAGTTGAAACCCAACCTAAATAAAATCAACTATGGAATCTCTACAAATATCCTGAAATGTCTATAATTGGTAACAGAAGCCATTGGTTTATACCAACGGCTTCCCATACTTAATACTTCTCAAATTCACTCTCGCATGGTCATGTGTGACGTCATGAGCTGCAGTGCGATTTTCACTTCTAGCATCTTATATGCACATGTTTATCGTTGCTAGGAAATTATCCATGTAAACAATCACAGATTATCATCACTGTCTTGTCTGTATATTGCTTAATATATTGTACAGTAATTGACATCTTTGATAATGGCTTATGTAAGCCAAAAGCTTAGATTGGATTAAAAAATATGGATCAATATTGTGATTTTCTTTCTTTGTTTAATGATAATGTTATTAAGCTTATCAGGCGATATGAAAAGAATTTACAGAAAATAAACTGACAACACTTGTCTATATTATCTAATGAAACATGTATGAATGAAAAAAATGCTGCCTAAATACACACAATTTACTAATATATATATATATATATATACTAACTTGAACTTGAAGTATGTGAAGTCATTTAGTAAGTTGCCCTGGATAGAAATAACTGGAGATATTTGTACCAGAGTGGTATCAGAAATTTTTAAATCAGCTGTATTAACCAGCTCAGAGATGAAAGACAACCGCAAAAAAACATCAGCAAATATTCCTGTGGCTATGTCCTGAGATCCTCATTGTTGTATGTGAACTGGTATAAAGGACTGAACTATCATATATCATATATATCAACAGGAGAGTCCATCATATATATATATATATATATATATATATATATATATATATATAAAAGAAAGAGGTTATAGTGGTTCCAACGAGAGAAAAGTGTGTATATTAAAAAGAAGAAAAGAGGGTGCTGCAAACGTTTTTTTGGTTGTAATGTGAATTTTTTAAAAAAAAATATTATGCTTTATTTTCCATAATATTTTTCTTTAAAAATCCACATTACAACCAAAAACGTTTGTGGCACCTCTCTTCTCTTCTTTTTAATATATATATATATATATATATATATACATATATATATATATATATTATACACTGTTACATTAGAACATGTAAGTTACTATGCTAGGGTGGATATAAATTGGATTAGCATTGTTTTTCATGTAAGGTTGAAAATTATTAAAAACTAAATTTTTTAACATTAAATTTAACGTTACAGTTACATCTAAGAAATCAA